CCTCTGCTTGGCTGGATGCATTATGCATTTTGATTATTTTATGAATTTTTCTCCCATTCACACCATTGATGGGGTTTCGATAGATTTATGGGATTTGTTTTGTGGAGGAGAGAGAGAGATGCATGCATAGTAATAAATAAATGTGGTAATGTGCACTTTCTGTCCTGATCGAATTGAGATTGCATTCAGAGAAAAATAAATAGTAGTAATAATAATAATCATAATCTGAGAGAAGACCGAATCCAATTCGTAACTGTACAAGTTGCCTTCTTTTTAGCAGTAATGTGATTTATATGTATGTATGCATTTGTGTGTGCATGTAAGGCTAGAAAAACTACTTAAATACTAGTCGCATTCATTCGTCATCCATCGTAAATTGGATTTATTTAGTGGAGTCGTATTTAGTTAGATAAGCTGCAAAAATTTGGAGGAAATAATGCAATTATTTATGTATCGCAGACTAAAAAAATGTATATACGTAGGGTGGGATATAGCTCAGCAGATTAGAAATACGTACATTAAGTAGTGCGTGCATATTAGAGCAGGGTGTGGTTGGTTGGTTTGTTTGCTTGCTTAGATTTTTCTTAAATTGTGACTCGATTCAATTTGTTTTTTATTACTACGGCATTTTCCCCAATGAACAAACATTACTCGGGACAAAAAATACTTCTGAACACGTCGCCCATTCCACAAAATCGTACAGATTGAATCGGTCGTCGTAATAATCGTATAACTTGTAACAAGCAATGTGGTCGTAAAGGTTTCAGGTTCTTGATTTTTTAGAGGTTTTGCCTCTTCGTCGTGGTCGTGGTACTTCAATTTTACTTTTACACCTCCGATCGAGAAGTGCAGTCAGTACCTAAAAGTGCAGTTGATGATGTTCGAGGGTGCAAAGTGCATTACGGACGGAGAGAAAATGCCGTTTCCTTTTTATCCTTCTCCTCCTCCTACTTCTTGCCTTGTTGTCGAAAAGTTTGTGTACAGATTTACGGTAAAGTTTATTCAATAATCTGGCCTTCCCTATCACCACCATTTTCCAATTTTGGAAAGAAAACGGAGAAAATTGGATTTACTAAAATCTTATTATCATTTGATTCTTACTTTCCATCCAAAAAATAATCCTTCTTTAGCCGAGTATGAAAAAATCGAGTCAAGTTAAGCAAAAAACAAATAAGATCAGATCAAAAACTGCAGAGATGCAGTAGTAAAAGAGATGCTATATACTGTTATTGTTATCTGGGTAAGGGTGGTGGGAGGGGGACATTAGTCTCTGCTGGCTGGATGATGATGATGAAGATCCGCATATCAAGTTATAAGTTGGCTGGCTTGGTTTGTATGAAACTGAAATCTGTGCAAGTTGATGAAGATCTAAATATCTGAATGAGGCGAGGATTGGTTTTCGATACGAACGAGGAACGAGGGAAGGAAGGAAGGAAGGGACCGGATTTCGTATATTTCATCATGAGTCACACACTCGGAAAGAAGAACTTAGCAATGTGCACCATCGAACCAGAAAAAGGGCCCCCCCCACTCGTTCCCTGGCTGGAAAAAAGGCCAAGAAGAGAGTGTTGTTGCTTTGCTTGTTGTTCGACTGGGGAATGACGAAGGGGAAATTACACCACCATCACAGACCAGCCATTATTCCACTTTACGATATGTATGTGCACTACGAGAACTTCCATTATGTTGAGGCAGTCACATTTATACATTTGTACGTACGTACTAAACTGAAGGGAAGACGAAGAAGGGAATATTGTAGATATTCCCCAATTATTATATTACTCGACTGGATCACGCAGAGAAAATAGAGCGATGATTCCCTATTCACATAGGAGAAAAGCCCATCCATTTCCTCATCAATCCTTCCTTAATTGTAGCGATGCAGCTACAATCCTGCTAATTTTCTCCACTTCCTTGCGACATTTGTGGAACGGAATGAAGATTTATTCCCGTACAAATAGTTAAGGATTTTTTTGAGAGACTTTGCGTCCATTTAGAATTTTTCGACAGGGAACGATATTTACCAAAGTTATGTTAGATCATAAAAAGTTTTGCATCTGCTTCCCATGTCTCGAGAATTTGAATTCGATTTAAAAATTCTCGTGCATATAACTTTTTGAGGCATAATATTTGGATTATATATAATTTTTAGGCCTCTCCTAGGTTATGTTACATCTCCAAGTTAGAAGTTTGCCCAATTTTTGCGTTTATTTTAAGAACATTTAGACCCAAAGGTCAAATGATATTCATAAATATTTGATACAACAAGAACATCGAAGCAATAAAAAACTAAAATTGTATGATTTATAATATAATGCAATCAAGCTAGGTATTCTCGAATTTAGTAATCGATCTAAACTTGCTGAAAATACTCATGTCGACCTGTATTGCAAAAAGTTTCTATGTACGTGTTTACAAGAAGTACATACCTATGTAACTGGTACTACAAAAACGTAGGGAACATTAAGCGTTCACTACCAGCTCGCCTTAATGAAGAGGAGATGGTAGTACAGAAACAAAGAAAATCACGCACGTATGTCGTCCCTGTGCACAAACGCTAATGATAACGAATGGCCGTGGGGGGATGAGATGGAGAAAAAACGGACGAGGTTTAGATAAGATTACGGATTACGTCGTCGTACGTGTAATTAACCATCGCCAACCAACAACCATTGCTGCTGATGCTCCTTTACTGAAAGTCAGAAGCTTGTTAAATTCCCTCCTCCTCCTCCTCCTCCGAAAGGTAATCAAATCACAGTCTCAAGGAAATTTCTTGGTATAAAAGTCAGTCACAAATCTCATTCCTCTCCTCTCTTTTACTACGTACGGACTAATCTCTTCCTCGCAGATGTGCTCCCTGAATGCACAAAATGTTGGAGAAATCAGGAAAAAGATCTCGAATTGCATAATCTTCAAGTATCTATTTATTCATGATGATGATCCATTCTTGTTCGATGTAGTTTTTTTACACGGGGAAAATTGTACATTTTCAAATGACCCAGTAATTACGAAGGACAATAGAGAATACAAAATACGAGATAACTTCTTTTTCTTTTCAAAGAAAATTTCTGAACGAGATGCGATCCCAACTTTTGTACGTATCTGTTCCTAATTTATTTATTTCGTCTCGTCCTTCTCTCTCATTTCATGCATGTGCAAAGTACAAGTGCCTACCGATTCCATGTCATTGTTCTTCCCGTTTCGTGTCGTCGTGTCGCGAATAACAAATTACTTAATTACACTACGTGATGAGCAAAGTTAAAAAGAATTAGGAGAGTAGCATAAAAGTAAAACTTGGCCTAAAATCAATCTTACTTTTAAAGTTTTTCCATTAAATTAAGTAAGATTTCTGTCCCTTTCTCTCTTGTTAATTCCGGTCTGGTGGTTGCGTTGCGGAGCTATCGGCGATGCACTGCTTATCAACGTATTTAGATAGGCACGTTACTTACTTTCTCTCATCTGTCTTGATTGGGTGGTGGTGCTCGTGGTGGTGCATCTGTAATTTACGTAAATTAAACTGGGTCGAGTTTCTGAGGATTTCTTGCCGAGTCTGAATAATCTAAAGGTTTTAAATTATGTACAAACTACTAATTACGAGTTCTTTGTTTGTGGTGATGATTCTTCTTTATCTGGACTGGAGACGACGGGAGGAAAATAATCATGTCGGAATTTCATGTGCTGTGATGTGAATGAGGCCAGATGATCCTAAGCAAACTTAAAGTTTTTTTAGTTTTACTGATTCCACGGCTAGATTATTATTTTACGGAGAGATTGTACACATCGATATGTTTACAAATGTACACAGACTGAGCACGATAAGTAGAATTGAACAGGTGTACACACCACAAATTCCTGGGCTGTTTTTGTGTTTCGAAAATGGGAGAAAATAGGGCATATCATTAGTTTTCTCCTCTGCTATCTCCTCAGTTTTGATGATTCTCTCTCAATAATTATGTTCCACACGCACACGCAAGTACGAAACAACAGCTCCTTGTAAGTAAATAGGATGAGATCGATCACTTCCAGAACAAAATCCAGAAAACAAGAGTATAACAACTGTCGTAATACTTATGTATCGACCCATCCGATAATTTCCACTTGGTAAACTACTACTCACCACTTACATAATATTTTCCCATGTTTAATAAGTACGGAAAAATCTATGGATTGGATTCCACTCGAGAAAACAGGATCAATTTGAAGCACATACTGTATTCTACGCCAAAATATTGACACAGCAATTGCTTTGCTTCTCCACTTTCCCTGGGACTGCTTTCTCTCTGGAAATGGAGAAAATTATTTTCCACGCCATAATTCACATCGCCATCATCGTCACAGTCATCTATCCATTTATTTAAATCTCTCTCTTTCTCAGCTAGTCTGGTGCTGTCATCTCATTTCATTTTACATATCCAATCGCTCTTCATCTTCTTACATGCTGCGTAGCATATGTACTATGTACATATTACATATTACTTTTGCCACTTTGTGCAGGGCCTAAAAGATTTAAGAAGATTTGACATGCTAACGAATCTGATGATCCGAGTTGAAAAATATGGTTTCTCTTCTTCTCTCCAACCAGATTTAAGAAGCGAGTTAACAAGACGTCAATATAAATTGTGTGTGTGCACGAGCAGTGTCGGTCGGTCGGGTCGAGAAGTAAGATAACAAATTTCTTGGGGAGAAGAAGAAGAATTTCTTCAGAAGAACGTTCCTTGTCGGTCTGTCATCTCCTCCGCTCTTCATCTTCATTTCCAATTCGAGGAATAAAATAAATGAGTCGGGTCGATCCCGAGGAGAGAGATTGATCCCTCAGTGACATGGGGGAAATTGGTGTGGCGTTGGTCGTCGTAATTTGGTGGCGTTTGTGTACATACAAGAAAATATGCTCAGCAACTTATTATTGGTTTCTTCGTTTATTTCATAAAATGTGCGTCACGGTTTCCAAAATTATTATTATTATCAGTATCATTATATTTTTCTTTATATTTTACTTTACGCTAGTTCTCACAATTATTACTTTTCTGCTTCATTTCCAAGTCTCTCAACACATCCTGCACCGTGGTTCCTGCCGGTGTTGCTATAATTTCGTACGGTTCCTGCTCAATGCTCGCTTCCGTTTCGCGTTGTTTCTTGATGGCGGCCGGATCGGTTCTTTTGCCGCGATAAAGTTCCAGCTTTTTGCGATCCCCCATCTTCCAAAAGTCCCTGAATTGTTTCCGATACAGGGTGTCGGTTTCTTGGAAGGAGCACGGGTTCACGCAGCGACCCCCTTTGTTCGGCGGTGGTGGCATCCGTTCGGCACGGTGACCCTCTTGCAAAACGTAGTCGTGGCGATAGAGCGACGTCCCCCGTTGGACGGAGATCGTCTCGCACATTTCCTCCTCAAGGAGACGGACCATTTCTTTGCTGCGGAATTTAAAGTCGTGATGATACGTGGATCGGTCATCGAATGGGCCGCAGGGACATTGTTTGGTCTGGGAAAAATGGAAAAAGTGTGAGGAAATATTATGTAAATGAGGTCACTTTAATTGTGGGGTATTACGAATGGTTTGAGCGGATGACCGTATGGCGCTGGGAATCGGGGAAGGCATGTATCCACTTTTGGCGGACATTGAAACGGACCCCAAACTTTTCCGCAGGTATTGCCAGCACTAAACTTGGCGTTTTTGTACTCGGTTTGATTATAGGCTCGGAACGAGATGCGGTTCGTGGTGTCATCTTTTGGACAAGAAAAAATATGTAGGTCGAAATTTGCATGTACTGGTCATTTTTTCCTTTAAAATTGTGAATTACCATTGAAGGGTTGAATGGGTGGCGTGTATCCTTGACAAGGCGCATAGTTCGTAATTTTAGAACAATTCCGTTTCGGAGTAAAGTCAAACTTTTGCGTGGTTTCGTCTCGAAACGGAGCACACGGATCGGTCTGAAGATTATCTTGGTATCGAATCGGGCAAGGTTTGACGTACGGCCAGGGATCGTTATCCTTGAGTTCGACGGGCGTGCGTTGCTCTACTTTCGGATCACAGCAAGTGTACCACATGTTGTTTAGGGTGGGAAATGGGATGGCCCCGGGAGAGGTCATGACCTGCAAATCGGGTAAAATTTAACTAATCATCCGTATCAAGTATTTTCAAACTTACGTCACTCCTTGGAGGATACTTTGGCAGGGGATGTTCCACATAGAAATGTTTGTACGTCGTGCAATCGTCCATCTCCGGACATGGCGGAACCCAGACTGAATCCTGCAACACCCAGTCCGGAATTTGGGGATACTTCACCGTCTTCGGTCCATACTGGTAGCATGTTTCCGACGCTTTGGCAAATAACCCGGTTCCAGAAGTGAGACTATTTCTGGGCAGAATAGGTCGACGATGTGTGTCACATTTGGGTGGAAATTGAGTCAAATGTTCAGTTTCTTCGGAAAGTGGTCTGCAAAAAGGAGTTAAATATGCAAATAATTTAAACAATTTTTAAAAGTTGCACCCACTCTTCCGAAAATTGATCCATCGACCACATCCCATGTTTCGTCACGGCTGCCGTCACCGGACCATTGGGGACACGTTTATTATGCGGAAAATCCAATCTGTACGAAGTTGCTCCTATAAATAACACATGATAATTCACTTCCGGTCAATATGACTCATCACTTAATTTCAGACCTTCCATCGGACAATGGTTCGGAACATAGGGTTCCACCCGCCTCTGAGGTCGCGGTGGGACAGGTTTCTCGTAAAAGAAGCAGCGGTGTGTCGTCATATCGTCCAACGGGGGCAGCTCCTCCTTCGGTTGACAGCAATAGTCAATCTGCGGTGGTTTGATGGAATTTTGGTCACATGGACAGGGCGCTTTGCAGCAGTCATCCTATTCAGACATTATTTTGACCACTGTTTAATTACCAAATTTATCCCTTCTCATACGAACCACATTATTGTGCGAGTACGGGACAGGAAAGTCCCTCTTGTAGTTCGACATCCACCCCTGAGTCGGCTCGATGCAGACGTTGTCATCATCATTTCCATCCGCCTTGCTCGCGTGGTGTTCCTTAAATGGATTTATCTTGCAGTGGGCACGCGGATCTCTTTTTCGAGGGTTGCGTCGACACGGATCCTTCGTCGCGAGGGCGTCCCACCGCTTCCGGAAGAAGGTCGTGTACTTGTCCGTGGTGCATTCTGGCGTGGGGTCGAGTGACTTGTAGGACAACGGCGACTTGTAGCAGGCGCGTTGACGAGAGATCAAATACTGTTCGAAAGGCATGCTGAGAGTGTTTGGGGAACCGTTTTCTGCTCATACTGGACAAAATTTCACAGAAATTTACATACGAAATTTTGATGTTATTAATCTTTTTGCTACCAACGGTAACCCAACTAGTAAATCTCACACCTAAATGTTCCTCCTTGATAAATGGACCCATATTGTCCCGTCACTCAATAAATGTCTATCAAATCCTTGCACTTGTACCACAGTTTTTCTCCATCTTAACTTGTCTGCATAATAATACGTCCTCTGATGGTTCGAACATTTGTTGGTGTCAAACTCATCCTCGCCTCGTTTTAACTCGTACTTGTGCCGACTTGTGTTTTAAATCCGTATCGAATATCACGCTCTCCTCCGTATCGTTCGTGTCTTATTCCTTTTGGTTTAACCATCATGTCGGTTTTGTCACGTTTCACGACAATGTTTCTCAACTTTAAAAGTTTACCTTTCATGGTTTGGTATTCCTCGTTGTATAATCGGCAGCATTTGGCTCGGGTGGGTGTCGCAGTAATAATAAAAGTAAGTGGAAGTCGTGGCGTTGCAGTGATACGGCGTTGGCTTCCTCCTCTCGCGTGGTGGTGGTGTCACTGCCAAATTCTTTCCGATTTTGGTAGTAGAATTTGATAATAACAATGCTTATATAATAAATAATCGTATAAAAATTCAGCCTCGTGTAGATTCCATGTCGTGATATCGATACTGCTGTCGTGTAATGGCTTGCGAATGGCAAAGGAAAATAATGATCATTTTGAGAGAATGGTCATGATAAAGTATTTCCCACTTATGTAAGAAGAATGGAGGATTTTTATATCATCGGCTTGTTCGGAAATTCGTATCGCATATTTATGCAAATGGGAAAATAATGCAAAATACGGTTTTATGGAGGAATTTGACGTTAAAAAGCAAGCTTTTTGTAATAATCTTCGTAATTACGAAAAAGCGTCAATCTGCAAATGTTACCAATCTAAACTACACTTTCCGATTAAGCTGAAGGAATTGATTTACATCTCAATTTCAGTCCAATTTCGACTCGACTTCTTTTAAAAGTCATCATCAGCCGAGGAAATAATAAGTTTTCCTTTATTATCTGCCCTTCATTTCCCATTCTTTCCCGAACATGAAGTGAGAACGATCTTCTTCTTCTTCTCCATCCCGATGAGCTATTTCCAGACTTTATTGTTTTCTCACTCACGAGACAAGACATTAAGTTAACTCACTACTCAAAAAATGAACTTTTTTTTGCTGCATCTCCAGTCTTAAATCCTGCTTAAAAAGAAAGAAACTCACATCCACATCCACGCATGGCATGAAAAGCCAGCTCACTCGCTCGGGAATGAACACACATAGATCTCTCACTCTCTCTTATATTTTTAATGACTTGTATTATTATGGACAAAACTGGAGATATATCGATACAGGCAGACATCAATAATTTTTACAGTCATGCACACACAGTGCGATTTACATATGTAGATACGTATGTGCAGTTAAAGGAAGAAAGAACTTTTTACTCTGCTCAAGGGTCATAAACGCGTTGAGAAATGTCTTCTTCTTTTAAAAATGTCTCTTTTCCCAGTAGATCGGATTCGAGAGTAGGTTCGTACGTAGATATGCATGGGAGGAAGAAATACGTTAAAATTAATGCCATCTCCTCCAAGGGCACGATTCTCCTTATCTTCAGGTATTTTTACGACTGTGAAATGAATGTGTGACTAATTTCCTACATTGTGTACAAAACAGTACTAAAATTTCTTTTGTGAAGTCAGGTACATTTTTGGAAATTGTATGCATGCAATGGTAATAAAATGGGGGAAAGGAATGAATATTTTTGAAACCATCCTCGTAAATATTTTGGTTTTCTACTACTCTGACAAAAAACCTTGTAGTTTCGAATCGTCTATCTCATTACAAAGTTCGAAAGATTTCTTATGCGTATCTCAGCAAATAACTAATTTAAATATAACCAGAATCGCATTACGCGTACGTGTCTGTAACGGTGTAACAAATTAAGAAAAGACGCAAAGACACCGGGAAAAGGGGAGGAGAGGGGAACCGACTAAAATAAATTATTTATACTCTTCACGTTTTAAAAATAACTGTACCCCCCAACCAAAAACTTTCAGAGTTCATTTCCTCTTATTTTTTTTTCGTTTTCATTATCACGGGTGATTTAGCACCTTTATATATTTCCTCTAACGGAGCAATTTAACAGATCGTGAAAAATAAAAAAAGAAGGCTCGCTTTCATTTCTTCTTACATTCCACCCTAAAACTCTTCCTCCTTCCGGAAGTTCCATCTCCTCCGGGATGCAAAACGCACTTTTTCGCTTAACAACTTCCTTAAAACTATGTAAATAATCAGGACATGAATCAATTGCACGCTTCGTTACCTGTGGACTCTAATTTAAACTCGGGGAATGTGACACGGTGATCATGATGACTGATTAAACCCACAGGGAGACAAAGTCTTATACATTCTCCGAAATTAGTTAACTTTACATTGTGTAATTAAAATGAGCCTCATTTCACAGAAATTCGTCTCCCGTCCTCCCCTCAAAATAATATTTATTCTTGAAACACCATATTTTCCAAGTTTTCCTTGTGTTCCCCACCCACGTGACAGTCGTGTCGGTCTTATGTTCCTTCCCTCGACGGAGAATTATGTATTGCCCGTGCAGCAATCCACCGTCTTGTCTCATTTGCTTGCATAACACGAACAAAAAATGTAATACGCACAAATGCACTTACTTTCACGGACCGGAACGGCACACAGCCCCCGAAAAGAAGACGACCAAGACATGCATGACACGCTAAAAGTTTAGATAAACGAATGAGAGCTTTATGAAAATTGCATTGCATTTCTCAATGTCGGGAGAAGAAAACGCTGTTCTTGGTGGATCGTCTTTTCACTTTTCTCATTCGCAACTTGCACTTATTCCTTATTCGACTTTATCAAATCCACGATTTGTGTATGGAACATTGTGTGGCGTGCAATGCGACAGTTTTTTTTGTCCCACTCTTCTTTTTATCTGTAGGTTTCAAGAATCCTTAATTTTTTACAGCCTTCTTTCTGAGAGGAGTTTAGTCATGAATTTTTTGCTGAGTGGATTATTGGATTGGATGAGTTTAGTGGTGGTAATAATTTTAATGGAGTTGTGTTCTTGATTGTATTTCAGATTAGCGGCTGATCTCCGTAAGAAAAAAATGGGATATTGGGAAATCTTACAATAAATAGAGAACTACAAGGTAAAAATTTTGATAAACTTTGACGCCAATAGTTAAGAATTTAGAAAAAAAGATATAATTTTGTAAGTACAGATTTAATTTTTGAAATTTAGAATTTTAAATTTTATGGTGTACAAGAAATATATTTCTGTTCACATTACGTTATTGGAGTCCATGTATTTCGAGTCGTAGAAAAGTGGTCCATTGCCCCACATAAATAAAAGTTGGTCTGTATGACTGGACTTGACTTGATTACATTTTCAATCACTCTTAACTCACTGAACCAAAAATATTTAATGATTCCTCTGCGACTACTAACTCTGTTTTGTTTTGCTTGGTTTAGTTTTACTTGCATCCGTTCGTCTGGTATTTACCCTCTCCTTGCGTCCCCTTTATTGACACAGTAATGGCAAGACAGAATTCCTCTCGAACCATTTAAAGATCCTTTTCTTCAGCTACACATCACATTGGCAAAGTAAAACGAGATCGCTGGTTAGTTAGTGGGAAGGAAAAAATCAAAGAAAAAATCTAGACGACCGGATATTTTCGTGTCGTGTTTTCTATCATGTCAATCAATTAGTTCGTAGTCGAAAGTATTATAAAAGTCGGTGGACAGATCGAAAAAACATTTTTCCAATTTTCTAAATTACCATTCGCAAATCTGTTTTTGGTCTGCATAAAATAATCTATTTTATTTATTTATTACAAAACAGTCATAAATCCATTACCGGCATAATTATTGCACAGATTAAACATTAATCAGAAAAAATATCATAAATTTCCATTGTCAAATCACAACTTCAGTTCATTTTCTCATCATGAAAAGCAAATCATCCCTGTCTTCCTCACCCTGATTAGATTTCCCTCTAATTTTTGCATTTCACTTTCATTCACAAAACTGAATGATGATGTTATCACTTCCAACCCGACGTAAAAGTTATCTCGTTTGTCACTTTAAAAAATAAAATCTGCTCAAGAAAAAAAATTCTGGCTGAATTTTCCACCCTCCTCCTCGTCCTCCGCCTGTTCCGTTCCGTTAACGATTTCACTGATAGGATACACATTACTTGTATTTACGAACCATACTGCATTAAAACCTCGCAAAAAAGGAAGAGTTAAATCAAATAGGAAATGAAAGTGAAGGGTTGAATGATGTTTATTTGTTCTCCAGAGTAATTTCCCATGTTCCTGCCAACAGCACCAAGCAGCAGTGTGTTACATAATATAATACACTAACTAAAACCGTTGTATACAGTGACTGACATTCCCCCAAAAAAAGAAATAATTGCATCCGATCCACTACTAATAGACAGCTCAGCATCAGAAAATGTAAGCAGCAGCCCACCCAAAAACACAATCCACACTCTGTTCCTTCCTTCCTTCCCTCTGTCGGAACATTTTCCCTCATTCTAACCACACGTTGATGATCAACAACAAACAAATCAGTTAATTTCCGAACCCGTACATAAAAGGCTGTCCAATTTTTAGCCAACTTCATTCATCACTCTCTCTCCTCTGGCAGAGAGCTAAGTAAGCAAACAAATAAAAACCAGGGCCAAATGAGGAAGAAAGAAGAAGTTGAGTGAAGCTAACAGCAGAGGACGAGTTGCTGAAATAGAGTAAAAAATGATCCAGAATATCAGTAAATACACTCGTGACACGTGGATTTGGATAAATGATGACATATATTCCGTTATTTACGCTCGCTTAATTTATTACTTCCCGATCATCACTCCTCTCTTCCGGATTTGTTTTAAGAGTTATTTTGTGTAAGGTGTCAGTCATCGTTTAAAATCATCAATTTACTGGATAGCGATATGAATTTATGAAGTGAAAGTCTTCACATTTTTATCATCTAAAAAATTTCCCCCAATTTTAACCCTCCTCTTCTTCTCCGGATGATAGGTGTGGATGGATTGTTGCAGGGTTGGATTGGTTCCTCGTTTCCTCCGTTCGTTGATGTGATGTGGATTCCCGCAGGCCTTTGTTTCCTGTCAGAATCAGGATTAGAAAGTAAATTGGCTATACGGCTGGTGAGGAGGAGGGAGCGAGGCGATGGGAGGGGGTGGTACATACGGATCTCGGAGAGAGAAAGTTGCATTTCTTCCTGCTTGTCCTCCTTCACAAGTTTGGTAGCCAACGCCAAGCCATTCTTGGACTGATTCTGCTTCTACTTTCACCGACCCACCATCAAATTCCTTTCTTTTCTTTCATGCTGTTAAAAACTGAAGGAATTTTATAGTGTGGAAGGAGTGAAACAGTTTTGTGCGAAATGTGGAGAAAGGCAATTTCCGGGGGAGGCGAAGGAAGAAGCAGAAGAGGAATCACATTATTGCCACTCACTCACGTTTACTTTCTCCGAATGAGTGTGGAGAGAAAGAAAGCGAGTAAAAATAAACGGGTCAGGTTTTTCCTATGTGACGTGATGTCCGCCACAGCACAGCACTACACAACAGCAGCCATGTCATTTTCGAATGGCTGTAAAATGCTGATAATTTCCCATTTTATTTGCAACGGGACCTACATAAATTCCCAAATTCTTTTTATGTGCGAGGATCCCCTTTAGTGATTTGTTGCTTTCTTTCTAACCATGCGATTTAATTAGTCCTTCTTGTTACGAAATTAGATGAATCGCATTCCAATCGGGGTGCGTAAACGGTCGTAAATTTTATACGCGTCCATCTCTTAACCGGAAATGATGAAATGAATTTCTGTATTTATTTACAGACGGAGTTGTGCTCCTCTCTAATTTTTTGCACGATTAATTAGTTACAAACTAAATTATAAATAAAGCTGGTGATTATTCTGGCCTCATAAATTTTGCATGTCGTCGTCTCCACGAGTGGTGCCATTCAATTAATTTGCAAACAACAAAGTATGAATAGAGATCGTCACGGAATTGCGAATTTATTGAACTTGAAGGCCGATCCAGTTACTTACTCGTTTGTTTGGCATGCATCTCTCGTCATGTCAGGATTGCATCATCGCAACTTCCACGACCACTCGACAGCACTCTGCGAAGAAGGAGGAGGAGGAGGTGGAGGAGGAGAGCATAATGGTTTAGAGTGTGAGTGTGAATTAGGCCAGGCTAAATTAATTAGAGGCTTTTGCTTCCGTGCTAATTTAACTAACAGCATGCACCCAGCTCTTTAACAACCTTAGTGAACGTGCTCTCCATTTTATTCTAATCGTGTAATCCGTTAAGGTGCGGATTTAACGAATGGCTCGCTTGGTTTCATTCCTCCTCTGAATATTTACTGCGGAATCGGACAAAGTTGCAAAAATTTGCATGGTTTTTTAACACGTTTGGCAATCCATGTATGAAAATTGTATGTCTGTGTTTCAATACAGATGCGTATTTACTGCCAAATCGGACAAATTGCAAAAATTTGCACATTTTTCAATGCGTGTATGAATTTTTTTTATCTCTCTCTTTTAAAACAGATGCATCCATTACAATTTAATTTTTTCGTCTCACAGCATTTTTTTCTCTTTGATTTATTTTCTACACAAAAAACCCAACTTTTTAAACGAACCATCCAATACATCAAAAAGAAGGAAAGGCATGTTTTAATCATGGCAGCATCAGTCCAACTACCAAGTAATTTACAACTCGGAAGAGTGGAACCCGTTCCACATGAGATGCGACTAGTTAGTTACACACCCCGCCCGCTTTCACCCTGCTGATGCTTGTTTGTGGTTCGGTTTTGTGTGGAGAAAGGTGTGAAAAATTTATCTGTTTGGTTCCCTTTCACCCAATTCCCTCGTGTAGTTTCTCGCTTCACTTTCTCCAGGTGTGGTGCTCTGCAACTACCGAGCAGCCAGCCAGTCAACCAACCAATACTTTCCCGACTTTCACCTTGTTTTCCATCCATGCAGTCGCGGAAAAGATGTGGGGACGAGAATCCAATTTCACGTATCGGATCGAATGAATAGGATATAATAATAGTTTCGCTTTCTAAGAACCACCGCGTCTCTCATCATCATCTTGGGAAATGAAATGTCGGTTCCATTCTCCAATTTTAAAATAAGTGTAAAAAATCATCGTGTCCTTATTTTTTTCTTTCCTTCCTGTTTGTCACTTTTCACTGATTCGTGAATACAAATGGAAAGTATGAAAATGTTTGAAATTATAAAATTAAAATAATTACATGCTTGGTTAGTGAAAATAATTTAAAAGCTATCCAGTCAACAAAACCACGAAAACTATTTAGTTTGCAAACTCTGCAAAATTTTTGTGGTGGCATGGCTTTCATCTCGGACATACAGAGCTCATCTATCGTATACATCCCGTATGTTTACTGGGAGGGAAACTTTCTCCATTTGTAAAATAGTGGCGGAGGAAAGTTAGGTTTCCACATGTGTTTCACATTGCGAAGAACTTAAAAATATGTTGGAAAAATGAGTTTAGTAAATTCGCCTAAAATCTTTTGACGTTGGCAGATATATAGAGGAGCATTTTAGATAGTAAAAATCTGTAAACGAATTAAATCATAAATTGTATGTTATCAACGAAAATACTGAATTTCGTAAAAATCTAACGCCCCCGAACTTGCAAATATCTATATTATATTTTACAATTAAGGATTAATAATTATTTCCTATTCGGCATCATTGTTAAGCAAAATATGAAATTAGCGATTTAATTCATTACAAAAATTATAGGGATTTAAGTATTTCGCTAACACATTTTTCTAACCCACGAAATCTGACCTTTGTTAAATTTAGATTTCCAATCCAACCAAAGCCGGTATCAAACCCCAAGTAGTTCAAATCTCATATTTGATCTCATCATCACTCCCGATTTTCGGATTAGTTAATATTACACAGTAAAAAAGATAGCGTATAAAACTGCTACCATTAGAAAGCACACGTTTACAAGTAAAGCGCTTCTTGTTACAATTGGATACTGGGCAAATAAAAATCCGCAAAACCAAGAGGGAAACGAGTATCTACAATTTATTTTAAAATTAAAAATTTATAATTATTTGTAATTCGGCATCCTAGCTAAGCAAGTAAAG